AGGGCGAAACCATTGCTGCATTGCAGGAGAGCAGTGAAAACTGCTGACCCACGTTGTAGGAAGGTGGTTCTCGCATCAGTATAAAAGTGGACAAGAGAAGTGAGCGCTAAAGAGCAAGGAAACTTGGGAGGACGTCATCGCAGTAGGTCCGGGTTAAGAGAATGAAAACCTGAGCTCATAATTGAGGGGAAGATGGGCATGAAGGTATAGATGAAAGGCAGAAACATCCAGAGGTACACTTGCTATATATTGACTATCCCGAAATCCACTCATTTTCGCTGTATGCCATCTCTGAAATCTGGTTGCATCTTATAATTATAATAAATAGTTTCCATTCTTTATCTTAGTAGCATGGAAAATATCGGTCCATGTTTAAATCTGTGGCTTCTTACACTTGCATGGTGGCAGAGTGCATGGCGATAAGAAGAGTGCCTCAGACAGCTCTGCGTTTTCTGACCGTGTGAAAGGGCAGTGCCCTTCACGTAGGTAGGGTGGGGATGTGGGGGAGACCTAGTTTTGTTTTAAACGTGCTGGACATGAGGCAGTGGAGTTGCTTGACTCCTTGAATAATGCTATCTTTGGTGGTAGTTTGTTTGTTTGTTTTTTCAGAGATTGCTATACGGAAATCTCTCTGGCATTATTAAGTCTTTGACCCCAGGTTTGTCTCTTGAAGCCCAAGTGGCTCCTGAGTTGCAGTTAACAGAGAAGTCTTAGAGTTGTTAGCATAAAAAAGATGCAAAGGCCGGCCCTCCCTGGTGGCGCAGCGGGTTAAAGCGCAGCACTGAGAATCTAGGGCCGCTTCCGCCTGAGTTCGATTCCCGCCTGCCCCGGAGGTGACCACATGGCGCGGCAGACCTCTCCTGACCCGCCCGCTGCTCCCCTCAGCAGTGTACTTCGTCGATCTGCCTGTTCTGCTCCCCACTCTGTCTCTGGTGAAGCCTCTCGCCGCCCCTGAGCCTCTGGCCTATACCCCAGTTCTGTATGCACAAATAAATAAATCTTTAAAAAAAAAAAAAAAAAAAAAGATGCAAAGGCCATGAGATTGTGAGAGAAATAGTTCAGTGTCAGCCAAGATGGCCCGTGCATGATGTCTGAGAGCGGTCACGGTGTTCAGCACCTGCTGCGAGCTCTGCGCTGTCTTGCAGCTGCCACGCGTGCTCCGCGGCCCGGGTCACTGGCGCCCGCCCGCCTGCCAGCGTGCCCATTGGCGCTCCCTTCCCCATGGTTGCTTGCTGTCAGCCCCTGGTTTTTCCTGCCTCGGTGGCAAAGCCCCAACTCTGGATAAACCCAGCGATTCTACTTCCTGCCTGAACTTGATAGTAAGAAAGATACACACCTGTGTTCACTGTTAATTGTGTTTATTGTTCTTGCTTTACAGTCAGTCACATCAGACCCCGAATGGAAACTCAGACTGGCAGTTCTGCTGATTATGTGTTTAGTAAATTGACTTTCCCACTTTTCAAAACACTGCTTTCCTCTCCCTTTCTCTCTCCTCCCTTCTCATTTCCAAAAATATAAGCAGTTGAAACAGTTGTATGAATTTCATCTTCCCGTCCACACATCTTCAGCTCCTTTGTGTTTGCCGTCACACCCTCCGCTCCCCTTTTGATGCTGGGGCAGACAGTAGCCAGAATAGCCCCTGCACTCTGAGTCTAGCTCCCTGCTGGCGTCGCAGGGCCTTGCGCTCAGTGCGGTGATCCCCGTGTTCCTCTGTCACTCACGACCCTCTTCGCTATCTGTCATTTGTATGTTCTTTCCTGTATCGCAAAACATGAAAACTTAGCTATGTTTTCTCACCTTCACCCTTCATAGTCTCTCAAGCTCCAGTCAAGTGTCCATCCCACCACTCACTGAACAACAAATTACGGTGATTGTCAGCAACAAATCACAGTGACTTCCATCAGTTGACTCTGCAGTCTCTTCTCTGTCCACATGAAACTGGGTTTGTCATCAGTATTTGACAGCTGGCTATCGTCTCCCTCATGAAAAACTTTCTTCTCTGGCTCCTGTGAGATGCCAGACTCCTCCCCTCCAACACAGATCCTCCTTCCCAGCTCCGTTTTTTTGGCTTGCGCCCGGCTTCCTGGCCTTCCTGGAATGGTTTGTTTCCAGTGCTTGTCCACGCAGGAAATGTCCTGTCCTGTGTGCCAGTGATTCTCAGAACCTGCCTTGCCAGATATTTCCAAACAATTACAGATTTCTACCACATGTGAAAGTTGTTCCTACCTCTCTTTCTGACCTTAGTGATCATACCACCCACTGAGCTGTTCAAAACCATTTTTAGAGTGGGGATATATTTTACCTTTGTTGTGGGAGCACAAACACACAGAACGAGAAGCCTTTAAATGTGCCCCTACAGAGGGAGAGCATCTTGGATCTCCTTTGATAGGGTGCACGGATTTACTTTGGCCATTGGCATTCATCCATTTTGAGATGAGGTTGTGACTTTAAAAATCCTCTGAAAACCCAAGAGGTCACTCTTTGGCAAGCTTCTTAATTTGGGGTCTGCATAGTTCTGGGAGCATGGCTGGAATGTGGAGGTGTGCTTGTGCACATATGTGCCTTCGAGGGAAGCTGCTGGATGATACAGGAGTCTTCCTGGCACGAGTTTTGGTCCTTAAAACACTTCACGACTTAAAGATAAATTTAAAACACGAATGCTATATTATGGTTTGTATTTCCAAATCACATGAATTTTTAGAAACGATCAAAATCTGCAAAGAAGATCCAGGCCTGTCTGCTGCTTGAGAGACTGTCCGGGTAAGCTCACATAAGCATTGCGCCCTTACTACTGGCAGAAGCACTTTGGAAGAAGAGTTTGGAAAGTTGTCCTTCCTGGTTTTATTGAGTCATTTTTTGTCAATTTTTAAAACCGCATTAGAGTGATTCCTTCTCCAAAAGGAAGTCTAAATCCATGCTAAATTATCTTCCTGTTTAGTCTTATATGTTAATGTTCATAATCAGGGAACATCTAAGTTTGGAAAGCTAGACTGAGACCAGAGAGCTCTTTGGAGTGCGATGTAAATAATTCCTGTCAGGCACGGGTCATCACACATAGGTGGTTTCTTTGGGGGTAGAAAATCCTTTGGAGTTAATGAACACTCAGTATCCTCTGAGGCAGACATTGAACAGCACAGGTGTTTTCTCTGAGGGGAGTGGTGTGTGGTGTTTCTATCTTTTCTTCCTCTTTACACTTAACGTTGTTGTGCTTTGACCAGGCTGCAGAAAATGGCATGATTGCATTGTTTTATTAGGACAGGGAAATACTTGAAAATAACTATAAAGTGTTCTGAAACTGGCATAAAAATGCCAGGTAAATCAAGTGACAGCCTGTGTTTCATGTCATTTTTGCTTATTATAGTTAAATTTGTGCCGTTTGAGGGATGTAGTCAGTCCCTCTGGCCAGTTGCCCAACTAATTGAATGTTAAATACTGTCTTACTAACAGTTCATTCAGCAAACCTTTATTAAATACCTCCAACCTGTCAGCCAGTATTCTAGGCATCAGGGTGTAAAGGTGAAGGAGAGGAGGTTCTTGCTCTCCTACAGAGAAGATACATAAGTAAACAAACATAGATACTAGGCAGAACACTCAGGCAATTTCTCTCCTTGATGTCCCCCATGATGAAGCAGTTTTATATGCAGACAAAATACCTAGTTCTTCCTGAGCAAACCACAACTTTCTTATGCCTTGATTTCCTTAATTTGTAAAGTATATTTACTCTGTTTACTTCAGTTATTTTTTTTAAAAAGGCAAAGCAAAAAGAACACATGTGAAAGCTCCTTGTAAAAGATAAGTATATATCGATAATAACATTATTTTTGTGCATGTTGAAATGAAGTTAAATATTTGTGTATTTGCTGTATGTCAGTATTTCTGAAGCACTGTTTGCTGTTTAGATTATAAACCACTTGCGAGTAGGGCTCATACCTTTTAGGATTGTTTTGTTACAGGGCAGGGAGAGAGGGGCATCACCGAACCCCCAGACCTGCCTGCTCTAAATAGGTCTGCCATCCCCCACATCAAGGCAAACATATAAGACCTTTAATGGAAAGGAACTTTAATACGATCAGTGTGCAATACAGTAAGCATAAAGAATATAGGTTCTAAATCTAACACCCAAAGTTACCCATCCCCTCCTGGGTCAAAGTCCTCCCAAAAGGGATTGGCTTAAAGCAAGGCCTGAAAGCCCGCCACAAGTCTAACGTGCCTTCTGGAGGGGGCCCATAGAAAAGGGTCAGCAGTGGCCAGACAAGTCTGGGAGGAAAAGAGCAAAATCAAAATCAAGGCAAACACTGCCATCGTCACCTCCCCACAGGTCTCTCACCCACATCTGTTTCAACCAGTCCAGGACCAAGAAGAAGCAAGCAAAGTTTTTTCACATGTTTCTCTGCTCTTGTGCTTCCCTCAGCCCAACATGTCTAGTTTTATATCCAAAACCCCAAACAACTGCTTAACTCAGGTCCTCAAAGTTCTCCCTTTGGTGTTGCTGGGATTTGTAGTTTCAGTCTCAGAGGGTGGGCGAAGTCCACAAAACCTATATCTGTAGTTTGTTCAGGGCATCCTTTCCCCTAACAGTGTTAGCTTTTATGCCTCTGGTTTTGGGGGATTCCTAGTAAGTTGTTATGCCTAACGGTTGGTCGCTGTTTGTGATGTAATGGAATGAAATGCTAAATGATATTTAAAGAACTTTCATGAATCTAAAATAGAATAGTTGAGATAAATTTTCCTATTTTAGTGGAAAAGTATTTTTATTTGGCCATGAGTGTGAATTGGAACAAACAAAACCATTTTATATGTCAAAAATTTCTGTGTTTGTCTTTGATTCAGTAGTATCTGTTTTTATATGAAGCAATGTGGTCAACATTCTTTAAATCCTAGATTCTCCCTCTTAAAACCCGTATTCTGCTGTACTCTAGAGAAGCAGTTACTCTACACCACATTGGGATTCTAGTTAGGAGAGCAATCCTGAACTGAAAGGAATGTTTCTCTTTTCAAAGGTACGCCAGCCTGTCATATGCATCAACAACCATGTATTCTGTTCCATTTGTATCGATTTGTGGTTGAAGAATAATAGCCAGTGTCCAGCTTGCCGAGTTCCCATCACGCCTGAAAATCCTTGCAAAGAGATTATCGGTAAGGGCCCCATTTTATAAAGTCATGGAAATACATTTGGAAAGCTCTGTAAATAATGTGTATTTGGAGGAAGACTGAAATGACTTTCAGGGATATTATTTTGTCACTATCACACAGGGTGAATTAGTAATTTGTAGAATCTGTGGGGGGGGGCAGTTGGGACACCAAGTACTTATAAGACTGTGACAAGAAATACTAGAACCTCATGAAATGTACAGTAGTAGAGGCTGTGCGAGTGGACAAAGGTATTAATAATAGCTTAAAGCAGTTGTTTAAAACCCAGGAGGTACCAGAGAATTCAACAAGGAGTAAGTTTAACTTGGACATTGAGAAGGTAGAATTTTAAGGAGGAATAAAATTTCAACTCGTAAAGCTTGGGAGGGTATTTCATGCAGAGGGACTAGCATGAGCTCAGATTTAGAAATTAAAAAACATAAGACATGTTTGGGATTGACAGTAATCTAGTTTGGGTCTGACTACTGAAATAAAACTAAAAAGGTAAATTGAAATCTCAGAGAGTCTTAAGTGAATTAGGGACGTGGGTTGTGGCTTGAAAGATAGGTGAGGTGGACATAATGGTTTTGAGCAAGAGAAGGACATGAGTCAAAAGGTGCTTTTTGGAATATTACTCAGGTGATGATACATATAGGTTGAACCGTAGTGGAAAGACAGAGGATGAGCAGGTCACGATGGAGACACTTGCCCAAATGAGGGAGCATGGAGTCTGGACTAAGGTTAAAGAATATTCAGTGGTACACTAGGATGGAAATGGTGGGTGACAAACTTGCACTACACGATCCTTGAAAAATGAAGCATTTAATGAACTTCTTTGGTGTTTTGTTTTTTTCTGCTCATATAAATTATTTCTCTGATGATAAAAATGTTGTAAGTGATTTTGATTGGTCCTTACTTTTTGGAAAGACTGAAAGTGTAAAGAAAACTAGAAAGAGCTGTGTATAGAAAAGGCCTTTCAAAAAAACTCAAGAATTCATTGTAATAATCCCCAATTAGGACAAGGTAGATTTAAGTAAGATGTTTACAGTAGTGGCATCCAGTGACCCAGGTTTCTCGGGCAAGCCCCAGTGGACGCTGTGTTTGCTGCAGTGTTAACCACTTTGCCTCTACTCTTTCCCTGTCCTAAGCTTCTCCCAGGAGTCGATCCCTTCTTGCGGAACCTGAGCTCTGCTTATTCAAATAATTTGAAGGTGTTTTACCTCAGCTTCTCTTCATATCCAGTCTCTTGCCTTTAGTCATTAGTATCGAAGTGAATTTCAAATACCCTCAAGTACAGCAGTTCATTCTTCTTGGCATTTGTATAGAACTTCCTGAAAATGAATGTCTGTAAAATGCCTTTGTTATCATTGATGCTAGGAAATTCTGAAAAGGTAACCACAGCTTAAAAAACTCTCAGGAAGAGCTCCCTTCTAGTGCATTTGCAGTGGGTTGTGAGGATCATAGTTACTGCGGTGACCCACAGTACATCAGAATCAGTGAAAAGACACCTGAACCTTTTCAGTTGTGTTACAGGTAACTAGGTATATTTGAATGAATACCTTGGTTATAATACTGTATATCATTCTCTGTCATATGTAGGTTTAATATATGTTAATAATTATAGGAAACATTGATAACATTTATATAATTAATTGGTTAAATATAACTATTGATTTTGTCATTATTTGACAGTTACCTACAGTTGTCTAGCTGATGGATTTACTGTAGGCCAAATATGATAATTAATAAACTATAATCTTTGCTTTCATTGATTTTCCTATAATAAAATATTATAGGTAAGTAAACACAAAGTGATTTTTTAAAAAGATTTATTCATGCAAGAACTGGGGTACAGGTCAGAGGTATGGGGAGTAAGAGGCTTCACCAGAGACAGAGTGGGGAGCAGAACAGGCTGATCTATGAAGTACACTGCTGAGGGGAGCAACGGGCGGGTCAGGAGAGGTCTGCTGTGCCGGGCCGGGATGGAGCTCCTGCTGCAGTCAGTGGCTGCAGCAGCTTCATAGTGCTGCGCTTTAACCCGCTGCGCAGCCATGGAGAGCCCAAAGTGATACTCTGTGGGAGGTATTGCTTACGGTGTTATTGGATGTTTATTTTTTCTCAGGATTGCATGGTATTCCCAAGTGTGTGTATAAGGGAAAGGATAGGAATTAAATTGGGGAACTGTACTAAGCCATAAGAAAAGAGTTGTTCATTTTCATTCTTACTCTCCCCAAAGCAGGATGAAAAGTTCTCTGTGTGTTTTTTGTTTGTTTTCCATAGGAGGAACAAGTGAAAGTGAACCTATGCTAAGCCATACAGTGAGGAAGCACCTTCGGAAAACTAGGCTTGAGTTACTCCACAAAGAATATGAGGTAAAGAATAATTAACATTTAAAATGATGATAGGTAAAGCTAAGCTACTGTAGTCCATAGGTTTCTTAGTGTAAAGCACCAAATGAAATCTTATTTTAAAATACCATTTTTACGTTCTCTTTGTTCATAAGTTCCTCTTTCCCCTTAATATGGGAAAGGAACAGATGCTAGAATTTACTTTTTTCCCCTTTTTAAATTCAGAATCTGTCCTCAAAAAAAGCATGCTGTTTTGTCAGTATTTGCTCTTTCAAAAACTTGATATGAGGGGAATCATACTTGTGAAAGCCAGTCTTCCATAGACAGTATGAATGTTCTGGTAAACAGTGACTGTAACCTGTGTTTCATTTTTGTTTGTCTGTAAATCCATTGGTAATTATAAGCCTGATAAGTACTTTTGTCAACTGTTCCCAAAGAGCTTTTAGTGTGAAATATGCTATTTCCAGATTCATTTTTATGTGAAATGCTTTTAAAAATAGTTTTGTGTATTTAAGGAGCACCACATAGTGTCTTGATACGCCTACCCTTATTGAAGTGATTACATCAAGCTCGCATTCGTAGATAGATACGTCGGGGTCTGTGGGCTGCGGTGGGGATGTGTGTGCCGCGGCCACTTGAGCTTTCTCTCAGCAGATTCCCAGTGCTGTTCCCTGCAGTCACGCTGTGCATCAGCTCTCTAGACTCCTCAGCCTTCAGTGTTCTCATTTTCCCCACTTCTCAGGCCCTTGCTTCTGGCCCTTGTTTAATTCTGCTTCATGCAGTCCACTTTTTAGAGTCACTGAATCCAGATCTACTGTTTTTTGTTCTGTGAAGGTGGTGGTGGAATTTTTCCAAATCGCTAAAGGAATGCAAATGCTTATGAGTTAAAACCCAGTTGTCATTTTTACTTTGATTAGAGGGAATATTGTTGATCTCTTCTCTTGACATAAGCTGTCTTTAAGTTGAACTATATACTACCTTAAAATGTTTTTTAAATAAAGGCCTGAATAAATGTTCATGTGTTTTTTTGCTTATACTCGCTTAATCATTAATATATTCAAATAAAGCAATTTTCTCATTGTATAATAGTATTTAACTTGAAGTATATTGTAATTTCAAAGAGTAATTAGGACTATCTGTGTTAACTCTAAAATGAATTCTTACATAAGTAATGAATAGCATTAATAGGTACTAATCAAAATTAATCCTTTGGGAGAGCACTGCCCTGTTGAGCTAGTCAGAATTTATTTTCTAGCAACAGCATTTCTAATCATCTTAGTTTAAGATCAGGTATCCATTATAGATGAGGAAATGGTTGTACAGAATAGAGTTCTGGTTCACATGTTCAGTGACTAGATGTAATAAGCAGTGGCAGATGGGAAAATACACGTGGAGGAGTCATGGTAGTGACTGAAGAACCAACACGTAGAGCAGCTAAACATCAACTACAGGTGTTATTCTGAAAAAGAAAGCGGGAGAAAATGGCATATGGTTTCACCTCTACTTCAAGTATAAAGCATGCGGATGAATACCAAGCAGAGCTGTCCTGGATAACTGACCGATACCGCGTGCTTTAGTTTTCCTCAGTGCCTCCGAGTTTTCTTCTGGACTAGAATCTGCTTCCGTTTTGAATTCCCGTGACACTGTTTTCTGTATAGTATCTAAAATAGACTCAAGATTTGACCGCCACCCGCTATCTCCCTGTGACCCTTTCTGCATTCTGCCACCCTAACCTCAGCAACTTACCGCTTGCCAACATCCAGTAGTTCTCAATAAGTACCTTGCTTTCTCAAATTGTCTGTTGTGGGAACGTCCATTGTCTGTCTTTGGATTGACTTTGTTCTAAATTATACTTACTGATGTAGAATAAATTTACATTGTCCTGCTTTGGATATCATAGTTTTAAATCTCTACAAATGAATATTTTCACACCCTGCCCCCAACATAATATATTCTGGGAGTTTCAACTTGGTGACTCAGTGGCTATAAAACTATTCTGATGTGTAGAGAATCTGTGTAGTTACAGATTTTCTGAGTATAAAGTTTAAAAACACATCGGCCTTAGTTTTACACAACTGTATTGTGTCTGTGTCTAAGTAAGGGCTGTGCGTGATTGTTTTTCAGGATGAAATAGATTGTCTGCAGAAAGAGGTAGAAGAGCTGAAGTCTAAAAATCTGAGCTTGGAGTCACAGATCAAGACTATTCTGGATCCTGTAACTTTGATGCAGACCAGCCAGAGTGACAGCAAACCTCCAGTTGCAGATAATGCAAGTAAAATTGACCCAGAAACTGTAGCAGAATGGAAGAAAAAACTCAGAACCGCTAATGAAATATATGAAAAGGTGAAAGATGATGTGGATAAGTTAAAGGAGGTAAGTTGCAGTAGTTTTAGAAGTTCTACTATGGTTGTGTTAAAAATTCTGTAATGTTTTAAGTACCTGCAAAAGTATAAATAAGCCGTATTATCTTAACTCATTGGATGACTTGGGGTGGAGGGGGGAGAACAAAAATCCCTGGATGAGCATTTACAATAATGGGAAAACTTTTTCTCTTTAAATGATATTAGCTGCCAAGGAGTAGCAGGTGGTTCCATTTGTGACGCTAAATGGAGGCTCAGTAGTGCTTCTGTCTGAGTTTCATCTTTCAGAAGAGTGACATCAATTTAGAGGATGTTTCTTTCCCTTCTTTGTCGTTGATCTTAACTTTCATTTTTAGCTTGTGTCAGTGACTATTCTGTACACATAAAATATCCATTTCCCCACCTATAAAAAAGGAAAGCTTCACACCATATCTTCACTAGGACTACCATTTTCTGATTTTTATCTTTGTAAAAACTTAAGGACAGTGACCTATTCAAAAGAGCTCTGAGGAGCGGCTTTAGTCTACTCTGCAAGAAAATATTTTGTTTTATGTGGCGTGTACACTGTTACCAGTTATTCCTTCATGCACCTACTAAGACGCATTTAGGTGAAGAAGGCAAATGCGTGGGTTTTACAGTCTAGGAAGGGAGGGAAAGTCGTCAGAACCAGAAGTCCCGCACCTCCAGTGCCGTTGCGCTCTGCAGACCCGCGGGCCCGGCCTTCAGCTTGGCTTCAGATTTGTCCTGGCGGTGTCCCTTGTGCTGAAGGGGTGGTTGGGTGACGTGGTGGCGGTGGCGCACAGCCCACCCTTCTGCTCTGCTCGCTGGAAGCGCTGTCACTGGCACAGCTGTTGGCTCCTGTGTGTGGAAATGATCAGCTCAGGTGATATTTTCTAAAATAGTTCTGCAGCTCATCAGAGAGAGGCTGTTGAGCAGAGAAGCATCTGCAGCTTCCTGTGAGTAAAGTCACATTCAGATACCCACATACAAAAGAAATGCTGTTTGGCCTCAGAGAAAGCCAGGGTGAGAGAAGGAAGGGAGCCAGAGTGCCGTCAGACTCCAGAGAAACCGCTGCCGTAATTGCACTGAGTCGGCTGCACGTTTATGAGAAGTGGGTAGTGCTTTGGGGTTTGACGCCCAGCTGTAGCTCACTGGCTTGTCTGAGAAGAGGGGAGACATGAGAAAGAGAGACACTGGGAAGAGACAGGGTCTCAGTGAGCATTATTAAATTTGATTGGAATTTTTGCCATTAAATCCATCTGAGCACTTGAAAGCTGTATTCTGGGCTCTTAAGTGTGGTGTAGAAATACAAGTAAAAGGAGTGACAGTTTTTCTTTGCTCTTTTAATGATTATATGTTAAATTTAATGAGTGAAGCTACTCTGAGACCTCAGAACTATTTGAATGTTTAATACACCCACTTGCAGTATCTGCTGATGATATTAGGTAATTGTTAGCAATAAGCTAGACCATAAAGGAGTTGAGAAAACAGGCTGTAGAGGCAAAACTTGGGTGTGCAGTACAAAACAGTATCCTGTCAGTCTAGTGCAGGAATACAAAAGATTCAGCTTAAAGGACTCCTTAGAGAGAAGTGGACTTTTCCTATTGGACTGGATGACTTTTGAGCCTTCAAGAGGCCAGGATCATTGCCCAGTCAGGGTTGAGGTCGCAAGGTCGTTAGCATGGTAAGAGTCCACTAGGCAGACTTCTGCCTTTTGTAATCCCTGCCCACCTAAGCCTCCTCCACTTGAAAGTATCCTGGCAGCTAAGCAACTAGCCAGCCCATAGTGGGGATGATAGAGCGCCATGGCCAGGGAGCTATTTTGAAATGTAACTCCACAGTAGTATGTCAGGGACAGAGGGAAACAGTCACAAGCTTTTCTACTTTAAGCTGATCATCAAAACAATTCACTAAGTGCCTCCTTGCTGGTGCTACGCTGGGAACTTAATTCATTGTCTTGTGTGTATGCGGAAGTCAATGACTCCTTTATCTTCAGAGGGGAAGTAATGGTGTTATCAGTCACCTAAAGATTGGACTCTGCAGCCTGGGGGTTTGCAACCACCAAGATAAGCAGGTGCCTGGGTCTGGCAAAGGGCAAGTGAGGCTCAGGGCTCAGAGAATGGCCTCTGGCCTGCTTCTCACGTCCTGGAACTGGGGCCAGTGGCGCAGCAATACAGAGGTTCTGGAGTCAGGGCCAGATATCTTTTTAATTGTGATTTAAACTTTTTGGTTGACAGTGCTTTTTGTCACTCATTATCTTTGTTAAAAGTTCTAGTCAAAGAACTTCTCTTGCTAGGTTAGTAAGATTGGGTTCCAGTCCAGGGAGTTTTTATTTCTTTGGAATGAAAGAAGGGTTAGGGAATTTATAGGAAGTAACTTCTAAGAAAACTGTAAAATTTAGACACTGCTCCTCAGACTATCCAGAATCAATATTGAGCTTCTAGATTTTCTAGCAGTTGATGTTTTGTTAGGGAAATTTTAGGTGTCATACAGTTTAAAAAAGAATCACAGTTGAGATTTTTTTTTTTTTGAAGATTTATTTATTTTTGCATACAGAGCTGGGACCTAGGCCAGAGGTGCAGGGGGCGGTGAGAGGACTCACCAGAGACAGAGTGGGGAGCAGGATAGGCAGATTGACTGAGGCAGTACAATGCTGAGGGGAGCAGCGGGTGAGGCCAGAGAGGCCTGCTGCACCATGTGGGTCAGCTCCCTGGCAGCGGTTGAACTCAGGCCATCCCGGTGATAGCACTGAGACTTAACTCCTAGCCACCAAAGGCCCAAGAGTTTATTTGTTTTAAAGATTATTTATGCATACAAAGCTGGGGTGCAGGCCAGAGGGGCAAGGGTGGTGAGAGGATTCACCACAGACAGAGTGGGGAGAAGGCAGGTGGATTGATGGAAATCCACTGCTGAGGGAGCAGCTGCTGTACCATGTGCACCTTCCTGGTGGGGGGTGGAACAGTGCTGAGGTGACTGAGGCCAGTTTCCCAGCGCTGTGCTTTAACTACTTGGGCCACCAGAAAGAGTTTGTTTTTTAAAGCTCCCACTTCAGTTCCCTGATGGCACTCTGAAAAGTACAGGTGACTTGTATCATCACTCTTACTCTTCTGTTTTTGCTTAATCTGCAAATTTTTTTTTAAGGTAAATAAAAAATTGAAATTGGAAAATGGTGGCCTAGTGAGAGAGAACTTACGACTGAAAGCTGAAGTTGACAACAGATCACCCCAGAAGTATGTATTTTGTTCACATTGTTTAAGATTATGTAAGTGTTTAAGTTGCCTTGATGATATTTTTCATTTGATTCATTTATTCTTCAATGCATGTAGGATTAAGTGGAACGCTTTGCCTCTCAAAGGTAAGAGTCCTCTTAAGTTCATAGTGAGTCTGGATCTCAGATAAGGCTAATTTTAAAGGATGAAATTCTCTTTAAGTGGACTAGAATGGATTTATGGGGAGGACTTCATTCTTCATTGTCCCTCCTTGTTGATTACCAAGAGCATTGCCTTATGTGACCTAGGAATGGAGAATACTCCCTGGTTCCACACTGGCTGTTTACTAGTGGTGCCCAGTGTGAAGACAGCCTTGGGGCTTAACGCTTAATGCCCAGAAGGGACTTTCCTTCATGAATAGTGGCTGATAGATTTCACAAGAAGGCTGATAAAAAGATTTATTTTCCAATGTCCCAGATTCTGACTGTATGATGAAGAATCAAACACAAAAAACCTGGTCACAGACTCTGAAACAATCATTAGAACACAAACTACGGGTCTCGACATATTTAAGCTTCCATTAATACACAGATGGAAAAATGTAACTTCAAGA